AGGAGTGCTGGGAGGATTTCAGGGAGACATAATTTTATTAGTTTGATAGGAATGCCATCTGGGCCTACGGAATTGGAACGGGATTTCATTATAACGGTAATAAGGTCTGTGGGAGAAATGTCGGAAAAATAAAAATTATTGTCGTTAAAAGGTACCTCTGGAGAAAAGCCGGAAGGGGATGGTAAAGAAGAGGTGGAAACCGATATAAAGTGGGAGTTTAGGTCATCAGGTGATATTGGGAAAACTGAGGAAGGGGATCTAGAAGGTTCACAGAGGGAAAGCTTACGAAGTAGAAGCCATTTTGATTTGATATCAGGAGCTGAGGAAAGGGCTTCGTGAAAGTAGTTCGCTTTCGCTTGTCGGATCCTTGTCTGTGTCGTGTTACGAAGCACTCTGAATATTTGATAATCATCTGCAAGCCTAGTCCGTCTGAAGCGTCTGCGTGCAGCGTCGCGTCTCTTCTGCAGATCCTTAATTTCCTGACACATCCAAGGAGCAGGACGATGACGGAAAGTGGAGGTTTTGAGAGGAGCGTGGGTATTGAGTATATTGAGAAGATTGGTGGTGAGAATATCAACCATGGTGTCGACAGAGGAGCAATGATATATTCCATTCAAATCCAATGTTACTAGATCAGGTAATATTTTTTCTCGAGTAAGGGTATCCAGTTGGCGGAAAGTGATAGTTCGAGGATGGATTGGAGGAGTGCGGATATTATACGTTATTTGTATCAGATCATGAGATGAAAGAAAGGATACTGGCAATTGAGAGGCGGAGAGGAGGTTTTGTGCTGAGTCGATGATGTAGTAGTCTAGCCAAGTGTCAGATCTGCTGGTGTGGTGGGTGGAGGAAAAAGGAACGATGAATAGGTGAAGTGAGAAAAACAGATTTTCTAAATAGGATTTGTCATTGGATTTTGAGAGGAAATTGGTATTGAGGTCACCGGAGATAATTATTCTGGGATAGAGGGGAACGAAGTTGAATAGAGTTGATTCGAAGGACGGGTCAAATGGCACGAGAGGAGGGCGATATACCACGGCGTAAAGGATAGGAGAAATATTACTGAGAATTTCTACTAAGAGGTATTCTACATGAGGATGATCGGAAGATGGGGAGCAATCGAGGATTCGGGTCTTTAGGCTATTGTGGACAAACATGGCTACTCCACCGCCAGTCCGGTTTACCCGGTCATGACGGAGCAGGATGTAATTAGGCAAGGAGACTGAAGATGATGGAATATAAGGTTTGAGCCAGGTTTCGGATATTGCTATGATATGATAAAAGTTTTGGGTAAAGTATTGCAGGAATTCGTCATAATGGGCAGAAAGTGATTGAGAGTTAACTTGACATGTGATTAGGGAACTAGACATACAGTGGATTTGGAGAGAAACAGTCAGTGTTTGGTAGCGAGAAGACAAAACGAGTAGAAAGTACAGAAAAGCGATTATCGTACATGAAACTAAGTGAAGAAAAAGTAATATTAACATTAAAAATAAATAAAGAGAATGTACTTGAAAATAAATAGATTGATGAGTGACGGTGTAGAGATAGCACTAAGAGAAGAAGTAAGACTATTTTAATGAGGCTAAGGGGTTGACGGCTTCTAGGTAGTCAGTCAAATACATCTAGATCCGAGGCCTGTTCTATCAGGATGACTCTATGTCCGTCCTCTTTTCGACACCGCACCTTTCCGGAAGCAAACCACGTATATTTGATTTTTCCCGCCGCTCTCTTCTGCCGGGCTAGCCAATAGAGGTGTCTGTTTGTGCGAGTCATCTCTTCACCCAGATAAATTCGGTGGCAGTCATTTTCCTGCCAACCGATATCCCGCGTGGAGAAATCCCTCTTCACTTTCCTTTTCGTAATTAAATCATCTCTAATTGATTGCCTGACAAAACGTGCGATAACAGGCGGTGGTCGCGAGTCATCTTTTCGGCTTCTGCGGCGATGTACGTTGTCCAGGTCCTCCACACTAAGCCTGATCCCCAAGCTTGCTCCTATACTGGTCACCAAAGCAGCGGGCGTTTCGCCCGGTCGCTCCGGTATACCGCGGATCTCCAGTGATCTACTCAATAGTCCTTGCTCTGCGTTATTCAAGCGAACCTCTAATTCGCCCACTCGGGATTTGAGTGCTTTGTTTTCTAATAATATCTCCTCAAACTTTTTAGCTTGACCTTCCAGATGTTTTTCAATCTTCGTCAGTCTTTCGTTTAGTTCAAAACTGAGCTCTCCGTATTTATCTAGTGCTGTTTTCATGTTTTTTATATCTTCGTTCACGGTAGCGTCTAAACGATTTACTGCCGCAAGTATTTCTGAGGGGGACGGCTCGGTATTTTGTTTTTTCACCTGTTCGCAGTTAGAGCAAACCCATGTTTTTTTAATTATTTTTAATGCTTCGGTGTCTTTATCAGTAAGGTTGACGCACCTACCATGAAAAATTATTTTACACTTAACGCAGTGTATATTGTTCTTATCTTCGCGTGCGATAGAGTTGTTGCAAATATTACACTGCACCATTTTTTAAATTTATTAATGAGAATTACTTCGCAATTAAAATATAAATAAATACCAGGACTGTTGACGGTAGTAAACAACGTCTAATGCTGGTCTAATGCTGTTAGGATTAGTAGACGCCTGCCAGCTCGTTGCTCCCAGAACTCTATCAATCTCGCTGCGCTTTCTTTACTCCGATTATTGTGAAGATCCGACACTTAATAGCGTGATTAATAATAGTGTTTTTTTAAAAAAGAGAAGAAAAAAAAACTGAACTTAACTGAACTGAAAATTAAATTAAAGTAAACTGAGTCTATTATATGAACGAATTACACCGATGTACACACCAGGGCGTCTCAGGCCAGACTGACATATTCTATATTACGTGTAAGTTCTTGAGTGTGTCTATATTTATGTCGTTACACTTTATATTTACTGAGACGTAGACAAGATGTGACCAGTTGAGACAGGTCCGGACCTGTCGAACTTGAAAATGAAAAAATACAAATTTCGATTAAGGATTAGGATTAGGGATTAAGATTAGGGATTAATATCAATCAAAATAAATTATATTGGTCACGTGGTGTACAGGTGGTTAAGGTAAGAATAGCCCAGGGTCCAAAGTCCAAAAGTGCCCTTCAGATCCTGGGAGTAGAACCATAATAGAATAATATGACCTAAGGTGTATTATACCTAATACATATCCATAAATACAATTTTTATATACAATTTTTATTAACTGAAAACAAAATTTAAAAATAGTGATTTTTCGAATATTTATAAATTAATTGGTCACGTGGTGTACAGGTGGTTAAGGTAAGAATAGCCCAGGGTCCAAAGTCCAAAAGTGCCCTTCACATCCTGGGAGTAGAACCGCCATTTATACCCTACTTACGTCTACCACACGATGGCATTGCTGTATAGTGGAATGGGAGGAGCGGAATCCAAATTTGTGATCTGGGAATATGTGACGAATTTATAATTGATTACAGGCGTTTTAAGATTAGTTATTCCGGGATTTTTCCCATAATGGGCAAAAGAGAGATAGGACGGTAAGACGATGGGTATTCTGGTGGCTTCTTGGGTTTGTGAATCATATTGACAATAGATATTTTCTAAGGATCAGGGAAATATGTGGATCAGAGTACAGCATTATATATGAAAGTAAGAAATAGGATGGCTTTTCGAGGAAGTTTTAAGATCTGGGATGTTATTAGGTCATGCACAGGAGCTTTGGGGGAGGGTAATCTGTGAATGATATTGGATATTTCTGTGGGAGGAAATGCTTTAGGTGGAAGGGACTTTTGGAGAGGAGTACGCAGTTCTGATTCAATACATTCGATGTGGGTTGGATTTAAGATGTCAGGATGTGGGTTGAAAATTTGGAAGAGATAATAACCGAATATTTTTTTGATGAATTGTACGTCAGGCTTTTTCTACGTCGGATTTTGACCAGGTTTGGGATTCAGTAAGAAGATGATTAAAGGTGATTAAAGTCTTAAAACTTCAGAAGTTTTTTGGTTGTCATCCATAGTGATTTGGCAGTTGCTGTAATATTTTCAGTTAGGTTAAGTAATTGTTGAGTTTTATATTTTCTTATTTCTGATTTTAGTTTGTTAGTCAATTCCGTATAGTACGTTTTGTCTGAAGGATATCTAGTCCTGTGCCACTTCGATCTTGCTCTGCGTTTATTCCTTAATAAGACTCGAATATGATGGGCCAAGTTAATACGTCTTGAATTATTGCTTTTATTAACAAATTTGTTATAATTTATACTCGTTGTTATATACGCAGTAAGGTTTTCTATGGTTTTATAAATATCTTGCTTTGCATTAAGGGGAATTATAAGTCCAGTTTATCTTCCAGATCATCATGAAATTTGTTCCAGTCTACTCGTCCTGAAATCAGTTAAGGAAGTGGAGGTTTAGGAGCAAAGTTTGAATGTAGTAAAAGCAGAACTGGACTATGATCTGACGAAAGGCCATCCAGGGGTTTGATAATGGCTTGGGAGGAGGAAATCTGGGAGGTGATAAATATATCCAGGATATCGGGACGTTTTTCAGAGATTTTGGCCAATATGTAGGATTCATGTGCGAGAGGATTGAATAACTTTTGGAAGAAGAGACACGTGATAGGATGCTACCGCGGGAGTTGGATGTTCGACAACCCCATCGTTGGTGGATCATTATTTAAAAATAACTGATATGTTTCATTGGCATTTATAAGAAGGTTGTGTAAGGATGAGTTATTATTTGGAAACCAAGTAGAAGTAAGAAAAAAGGATACTTCTTTAAAGGACACACAAATATCGTAAAAAGAGGAATTGGGAATTAGACTACATGGAGCTCTTGATCCCGGTCCACATAAAGAAATATGCACAATATTCTGTATTGAAAATACGATATCCCTCACATGATAACATAATCTCAATGATTATATATAAGAACATCTCGATAATTAGATTTAAGTAAAACAGTTAAAATAAATAAAGGTTTATACACTTTTACCATTTATATTATTGTTTATGGCTTCATCAGGTTTATTGGCATTTTCAAACGAGCTTAAAGCGTTTAAAAGGTTTTCTACCTTATAAGCAATATTTAATAACTGCCCTCCGGGGTCCAGATTAACGCTGGAAACTGACTTTTCTTTAGGATCATCTAAAATAAATATATTTTTATATGAAATATAAATAACATAATCACATATTTTTTTAATAGGTGTAAATTAGAAACTATATATATATATATATATATATATATATATATATATATATATATAATATATATATATATATATATATATATATATATATATATATATATATATATATATATATATATATATAGTCACGTTATATATATATATATATATATATATATAGTCACGTTATATATATATATATATATATATATATATATATATATAACGTGACTGAAATGTTACCTTTATAGTAATCAGTGAGGGTTTCTGGGTTATAATACATCTTATAGCTCACATTATCAAATTCTTCCACCCAATCATTAGGAGTTTCCTTCATTTCAGGGTTAGTAAGGTTTACACCTACTTTTGTAAAGTTCGATGGTTTTTTAGGAATGTTGACAAACATTTTTCCTGCATTAAAAAAGTGGAGTTACTTAAAAGATAGATGCAAGTACTTAAAATTTATAAGAACAATAAAATAGACTTTACTTTTCAGTTAAAATATTTTATCATATTTATTTTTCATAGATATATTTCAATTGATTGAGTAAAGGATATAATGGCATTTAAATTGATGCCATTTAAAATCCATTGAACTGTGTATATCGTTTGAGATATTTACATGGTTTGTACTTCAATAACAAAAATTATATCCACTTTATAATTATTATTGAAAGTAAAAATCTAATAAAAAAATCTAGTGTAGTGTGCACATCACATATTTTCACTTTGAGTAAAAATAGGTATTCAGACCTTTTCCGATCCTCCTCTATTTCAACTTTTCTAAATTATTTATTATTCGTTTAACTGTTATATTTCACTTACACATATTTTTCAAAAAGGTTTTCACACAAAAAGTTGAGGATCAACTAATATACAGGATGTCCAGTAAGTAGAGGGAAATATTTAATGAGCTTAAAGTAGACCTCAAGAGCCACAAAAAAGTTCATATTAACAATGGGCCTATTTTCTGAGGGGAAATAGGAAATTCAAGTTATGTGTTTTTTAAGTAAGTCACGTTTTCTTTTGTTAAATAGGAAGCGATCATTTAAAAAATAATTAATTTAAGTAACTAAGAATTGTACCACAGTAAACTAGAAATTTACTTTAAACTAGAGTTTGTCATTGGTAAAACCAATTAAAGAGGACATTTGAGCGGCTAAATTAAACTAAGTTCTATTATTTAAAAAATCATAAACTATTCGCATTTTTTTTAATCGCTTCCAACTATACTACAGTCCCACCACTTTTAGGAAAACTTCCTCGTTTAGTAAGCTATAAGCCCATATTAATTAATCTGAAGTTAATTTGGAACAAATTTCAGATTCGCCTCAAGTTGTGCAAACAAATTAACCTTAACAAAGTTACTTAACAAGCTTGCTCCATCTCTGTCTGTCATGGGTTGTTTCTTTCCATTTATCTGCACGGAGGTCTCTTGCATCTTTGTTGATTCTATCTATCCATCTGCTTTTTGGCTTTCCACGTGGTCTTTTGCCTTCTATTGAACCATTCATTGTTACGTAGAGGTTTCCAGATGGATTGTTACAAGTTATATGCCCCGCCCATCTCATCCCCCGTGCCTTCATATCATGGGGTATTGATTGACAAGTTTCTGTAAACAGTTCTTTATTCTCCAAAACTTTTTTCTAGGGTGCAGATTAGCGTCCAGGTCTGACAGCTATATATTAAAACTGGATTTATCATAGCATTGTACACCCTTAGTTGTAAACAAAATTATGTGATTTAATATCCCGTCATCTAAACGTACCCGTGTTTTAAGTAAAAATGGTCAAAATAAATCATTGCAAAGCTTTGATTTATTTGTTTCCTATGACCTAAGGTGTATTATACCTAATACATATCCATAAATACAATTTTTATTAACTGAAAAAAAAATTAAAAATAGTGATTTTTCGAATATTTATCACCTAAAGTGATAGTGAACTGTATGATTTTTGTTGTAGAGATCTTGGTAAGGAACGCAGAGTTTCATTATCATTTAAGATAATAAATATTCGAAAAGTCGAGGGTAATAAATTAAAAGTCACAAATAATTTATGATTTTTTTTTTTTTAAAGCAGATCCCAGCTTAGTCTAGGCGCTCAAATGTCCTCTTTAAATAGCTTCAAAAATGTTAAAATTTACTTTTATCTGTTGTAAATTTTGGCTAATTTACTCTGGAGTGTTTTTAATTACTTAAATTAAATATTTTTCTAGTTATCACTTCCTATCTAACAAACATTCAACTTACTAAAAAAAAAAATAAGGAACACAAATCTTGAATTTCCTACTTTTCTGCAGAAAATCGAACCATTGATTACATAAATTTTTAAGTAGCTCTTGTGGTCTGCTATCACCCATTTAAATATTTCCCTCTATTTATGGGACACTCTGTATATCTAATAATATGTAATATTTAATAATATTAAAGTTTTTTTCAATGTATTTCATGGTAGACGTTTTAGATGAAGCTCAGAATTTTTATAGTCAACAAGTAATTATTTTTTAACTTTGGTATATTTCTTATAGCAGCGACTAAACTGGGCCTTAGAGTAAGTGAGAATAAGATATCAAAGTCCATGAAAGAACCCGTGTATATGAAAGGTTAAAGACTTTTTTATTTTTTTTATTTAATGGAATTTACAATTGTATACAAATACAACAAGTAAATATGCGCAAATATAAATAATGGCATGTACAGGCTTGAAGAGTTACTACCCAGTGGTAGCACTCTCTAAATAATTTTAAGTAAGAAGATCACGAGGCCATCTCCTTTTCATACGCCTAGGAGGATTATCAGGAATCGAGAAAGAAGCAAGAGTGGAAACAAGCGGATTTGGATGGGACTGAAGTTTATCATGAAAGGATAGATATCTGGCTCGAGCTAAATCAGCGACATATGGTACATTAAGGTCTTTATGAATGGTTTTATTTGTGACAAAGTATGGAGCATTAAGGATTTTACGGAGGATTTTGGATTGTAAGGATTGGATACGATAGGAATTCGATGGTTTGGTGGAGCCCCAAAGCTCATAAAAAGAAAATTAAATAAGATTTTGCAAGTTTTAAATGCCGTCTGGTAGGTCACATTGCAAAATATTGCCAGCGTGGAAGAAATAAATATAAAAATAAATAAAATTTAGCAGCACTATTAGCTTGTAGGATCTTACGAGTAGACAAAGTTATGGAAAACTTGTGGATAGTAGACACAGGAGCTACGATACACATGATTGGGAATAAACATTTGTTAACTAATTTGACTGTATGTTTAAATGACGTAAGAGTAATAATGCCCAATGGCGATTCGCTGTAAATAGTAGGTTCAGGGAGTGCTTACTTGGACACCGGAAATAATCATCTTGTTTTAGACAATGTATTGTTCCTAAAAGAACTGAAAATCAACCTGTTAGGAACAAAATCGTTAGTATATAATGGAATAAAGTTATTTTCGACTACGAAAAAGCAATATTCTTATTATATGGAGAAAAGAAAATGTCTGTTTGGTTATCCAACGGACTATACATTATTAATTCTTTGTTGTATATTAATAATGAAAATGATACTAAGTGTATCTCCTTAAAAAGAAGACACAAAAAACGAAAATTTAGGAAGGTTCCATTGAAGAATACTAAGTTTAAATTGTTTTCAAATCCTGGAAAGTCAGAGCCTCCTGTAAAAAGTGATATATCAGCTTTTAGGAACAATTCAACTGAGTTATATGATCAGGCTGATAAGAAAGAAGATGATGATGGTGAAGAAGGTGAAAAGAAAGATGGAGAAATAAATGAAGGAGATATTGGCAGTGATATGGATTCAGATATAAAAGATCATGTCCTGAGCGTCTGTGGCTCTAGTGCCCTCTTTCAGTCTCCACTGGCTTCTAATACTAGTGATGCGGCTGGAAAAGTGGCACTGGGATCTCCTGGAGTCTTGCTTTGCCTTCCACATGTGGGGGAAAAAGCCTGGCTCAGAGATTCCTGGGCGAATGTACATATTGTATATAGGTATGATTGTGTTTAGAAGTTTCTATTTTATGTTATTTGTTTACTTTTTTTTTCTTTTATTTACTTTATTCATCAGTATTATTTATTTACTTTTTATATTTATATTTATTTCTCTATTACATGAATTGTATATATTGTATGAATGAGAACTCTTAGCCCTAATACTTATAGCCCTCCAGCAGTGGCTGATTCTATTATTATTCAATAAATAGATTAAAAAAAAGATATAGAAGATAGACAGATAGATGATGGTTCACCAAATTCAAAAGCTTGGGGTTTAGAAAAGAAACAGTATTACAATAATGATTATGTTGACAGAGATTATTTAGGTTTTGATGATGAAGAAGCAGCTACCGAAAAATAAAAAGAAGTCAACGCCATACAGAGGCCGTTGCTATCAGATTTAGAAGGAACTGATTTCTCTCTTGGCCTTCTTGATGAGATTAAAAATAAGAAAAAGGAATCTGCTTGGAGAAAGGAAGTTCCAGAAGATTCAGAAGAAGAAGAGAAAATAGAAGTCGACATTAGTAGTTTAGCGCAGGAAGAAGCCCTAAAACTATCAACAAGGATATCACCAGAATTGTTTCCTTTGATTATGCATTGTAAATCCCAAATTGTGTTCCTGAAAGAGAATGTTTGGCCGATCCTCAAAAAGCTGGATGTGTCATTACAACAAATAAATCCGTAGATTGATATGATTCTGGAAGCAAAAGCAAATAATGAAGAATTAGTATTAAAAGAAGAAACGGAAGATCCTACAAAAAATGTCTGCATATTCCATCAAATAAAGTTTTCATCATTGTTCTTCTTATATTTTCAGAGATTTTGGTGATTCTTTCCGCGTCACCTTAATGTATATTTACAATTTCCTATATCACTTTCGTACTTATAACCATTTTGACAACTAATACCTCCGAAGATTTTCGGATATCGAGGAGAACATTTAGCTTCGATTCCTTCCATATTTTTTGGGCATAAAGAATAAAGCATTTACAATACAATTTTTATAATTTTTAATGATATGGACCAACCTCAGAGCAAAATAGAGGAAGTAAAAAATGAAATTAATTTTTATCAAGATATATGATTTTTGGGTACTTTTTGTCTAAGCGGCCGTTTTGAAACCTCACTTCTCGTCTATGTTATCTAACGTCATGTCATCATGTCACATAACCTCCCTCTTCTTATCCCGCCAAATTTTTGAGTTATTGCATTGTTTCATTTTCAGTTATTCCCTTATTACGTTCACTTATTAAATTGTTTACTTTTGGCCCGTTTGTGTTTATTTTTAGTTTTTGGCCCGTTTGTGTTTATTTTACCTTTTTTTTTTTAGTTTGTGACCCCTTGGTGTTTATTTTTCAATTTTTTTTTCCGTTTATTTTCGTCATATTATGGATCTGATTAGAA